CGTGTGGCGCGCACCACACCCACTCCTTCGAGCCTCTCAGCGAGCCTCTCACTGATGAAGCTGCTCGAGGCTCCCGTGTCAATCGTGGCCCTCTGCTGTGAGATTCCAATGGCCACGATCGCCGTCAGCCGGCTGCCTTCGTCCTGAAGACTGCCCATTAATACCTGGGGGCTCCTGGCTGCTGCTCCCGCTCGCCCCTTGATGGCGGGTGCCGCTGTTCGTTTCCAGACTGAAAACAGGCAAACGTTCTCACTCCAATGCGCCCGCACTGCCAGCAGAAATCCAGTGCCTTGTTGCGGCACGTAAAGGCGCGGTGCCCCTCCTGGCCACACACTCGGCATGCCCTGGCTGGATTCGGGATGTGTGTCCTTGCTCCGGTTGCGCCTGTCCTTGGCGCAGGAGAAGGCTTCACCTCATCCTCCATGCGGCGATACTCCACATCGCCTTCAGCGTCGTCCATGGCCATCAGTCGTGTCCGGCCAGGCCGTGGCTGTTGCCGCAACCTCTCGCGGTCCCTCTCCAGCTCCTCAAACTCATCTGCCAGGTGCATCAACTCCAAGAGACTATGGAATTGATAGGGGCGGGCGTAGGCACGCAGATCGGGCAGGCTGTTGTTGTAGATGAGCTTCATCTCATGGTCTGCTCCATAGCGCAGAGGCCGCATGAGGGTCTGCATCTCCACCATGTAGACCTTAAAGCTCTCATCTACCATTTGCCTCCGGCGTTTGACGTTATCCTCCAGCTTCTCCAGATAGCCTCTGGGCAGGAAAAACTCCTGGAAGCTGCGCACGAATGTCGCCCACGCCGTCCAGTGCCGGTTGTTGGCCACGTACCATTTTAATGCCATGCCCTTCAGCAGCTCTGGCATCGCCCGCGGGATCATGTCCAGATCCAGGCCATAGGTGTCCGCCGACCACTCCACCTGCTCCAAGAACTCCAAAGGCTTTGTGGTGCCATCAAAGCGGAAGCTCCACTCCCGCACTTGTTTGGCCACCTTTGGATATTCCTGAGCTGTGCTGTCGTGTCCTCGTGGCCTAATTTCCGGTTGCGGGGTGGATGTGGCTCTCATCTCACCCTGTCGCGTGTCCTGCAGTCGTGCTGCTGCGCTTGTGGAGGGCACACAGAGCCGCGCCACATGCGCAAGCTCTGATTCCAGGTTGTCCTCCGTGACGGCGGTCGTTGCCTCATCCCTGAGTGAGGCACGGCGTCCATGCAGGCGCTCCAGCTCGGCGATCCTCAGTGAGTAAGGAATGCTTCCTTCATTCCTCGCAACCCACTCGCCAAACTGCCTCCGCATAACGTCTAGTGTGCCTGACAAGCTCACTCCGAATTCGTCACTATAACGCAGCACTTCATCTTTTTTAAGATTGTATACCCACGCTCGCACCATATTCACAAGTATTCACTAATCACACTCTTATCGCAGGGCCCCACGTTGGGCGCCAGTTGTAACGAACCTTCGGTTTATCCCGAGTCTAAACTGGGCTAGTTTCAGCTGACTGTGGATTCGTTGCCAACAAATTTATTTGTTGAAGCCCCTGCGATAATTAATTAGTCTTGTGGTTTAGGTTTTATAGCGCAATGGTATATTTTCTTAAATAAATATGAAATGTACACGTCACTTATGTAAATGTATGCTGGCTCGCTGGTTTGCTTAGCGACGCACACCTACTGAGCGCTTGTTCAACGCACTCCGGCTGGGAGAGTGTTGTGCTAAACACGCTAGCTCACCGTAAGGATTTGAGAAACGCCAGGATCTGGATCTGTAAACTCTGGCGGTTCGCCAGCTATGCAGATCTCTCCTACTATCTCGCTCACTCACAGTACAACACTAGCTTCGTTCACTCACAAGCACTTCTCTTACGCACGGCTACGCGAACTCACCCAGGTGTGCAGGCCTCGCTTACGTTGCTGATATGCACCGATGTCCTGATCGGCGCCTGCTGATGATCTGCAAGGATTCCCACTGGATGTCCTTGCTGTTCCCACGATGTCCTGGGAGTCCTGATTTACCACTCGCGTTGACTTTCACTTGACTTTCTTCACGCACTTTCACTATATATCTTCTCACCGGTATATTTTCGACTTCTTTTCACTTTTTTGACTCCTTTTGCCTTCCCGTATGGAGCTGCTGGTGGCCTTTTATACCCCAGCCACAGGCCCTGCCTCGTGTGGTAACGGGGCCTGTTCGGCTCTGGAGCGGGGCCTTCCTGCTGCTCGTGCCCATAAAAACGGTAAAGTGGCGTGATCTGGGTGACGCCACTTTCCCGCCAAATTGCGTGGCAGCCTCCCATTGGCCGAAGTACCGTGGTTGCCATGCGAGTGAAAACGTCCACTGCTATCACCCGGCCCGAACGGCACCTCGGCTAACGGTCACCGATGATCGTCGTGCGTGCGACGCGAACCCATTGCTGAATCTGTAGGAGCGAAAGAGCCCGCCTCTAACAGGACTTTGACCCCCCTTTCCAGTGCGAGGGTCGCTCCTACAGTATTCGCGTCGCTGTGTGGAGCAACATGTAAATGCACGTATATGCATATAAACGCACAGCAAATACGTACGTCCATATACACTCATACGTGCATACCTATATTGCTCCTCACAATATATTATACAAAAGGGTACTATAAGTCCAAATAAGGAGAAGACTCAAGCGGTATCGAATTTTCCAGTGCCACAAAATAGGAAGGCTATTCAGCGATTTTTAGGGCTCACTTCTTATTTTAGAAAATTCGTCGAAGGGTATGCATTAATAGCAAAGCCGCTAACGGATCTATTGTGAAACAATGTAGCGTTTAAATTTAAAGAGTTAGAGCATGTCGCATTTGAGCAATTAAAGGCAGCGTTGTCAAATGGACCAGTGTTGAAACTGTATAATCCGAAGTTTGAATCTGAGATTCATACAGATGCAAGCAAGTATGGATATGGGGGGGTATTATTACAAAGAGACCCCGAAGATTGTTTCATCCCGTTCAGTACATGAGCCGGAAGACTAGTGAAGCTGAAGAAAAGTATGACTCTTATGAACTAGAAGTTTTAGCCGTTATGTGTGCTTTGAGGAAGTGGCGTGTGTCTGTGCTAGGCATTAAGTTCAAAATTGTAACAGATTGCAATGCATTCACAATGACAATGAAAAAGAAAGATGTTCCTTTGCGGGTAGCCAGTTCCAGAACAAAAATGCGTCACGTTGATGCGTTGAGTCGTATATCATGTTACATGTTGAGTGATAGTTTATTGCATCGTTTAAAAGAAGGACAACTGAGAGATGAGTGGATTAAGATAATAAGAAGCATTGTGGAAGAGAGAAGTTATGAAAATTTTTATATAGAGAATGGAATATTGTTTAAAGATCCAAACCGTCACAGATGGAAGCCGAGATCATTCAGATCGCTCATAAGCAGGGACATTTTTCAGCCGCAAAGACTCAGGATCTAGTTAAAAGAGACTATTTCATTCCGAAATTGAAATCTAAGATAGTCAGCGTTGTTGGAAACTGTATAGAGTGCATATTTATGAATGCCAAGAGTGGAAAGAGAAAGGGGTATTTGTCCTCGATTGATAAAGCTGATAGACCATTATGTACCTATCATATCGATCACGTGGGGCCAATGGAGTCGACTAATAAACGTTATAATCACATTTTGGTCGTGGTAGATGCTTTCTCAAAATTTGTTTGGCTATACCTAACTCGCAGTACAGGTGTCGAGGAAGTTATTTCATGTTTAGAAAGGCTTCGGTGTTTGGAACCCCCGAGCGAATAGTGTCAGATAGAGGAACGGCGTATACCTCGCACATCTTTAAAGATTATTGTCAGAACCAAAGCATCACGCACTTGCAAATTACTACTGGTGTACCTCGCGGAAATGGTCAGGTAGATAGAATGCATAAGATAGTCGTACCAATGCTTTCCAAGTTAAGTCACGATTGCCCTGCAGGCTGGTACAAGCATCTTGGGAGGGTTCAGCAAATAATCAATAACACCGCACCAAGAAGTACTAAAGTATCTCCTTTTAGAATTCTAACAGGCTTAGAAATGCGTTTGCCCGACGATCTTGAGTTGAGGAAATTAATTGATGAAAGTTTGATCGATGAGTTGAATGTTGAACGATCTAAAGTGCGGGAACGAGCCAGAGAAAATATACGAGAGTTACAGGAAGAAAGCAAACGAACTTACAATCTGAGGAGGAAGGCAGAAACTCAGTACGATATCAATGATTTGGTAGCTATAAGACGTACCCAATATGGTACCGGTTTAAAACTAAAAGATTATATTAGAAAAGAAGGATCATGGCAGATATGAGGTGGAAAAGGTAGGAATCGGAGAAGGACCACATAGAACGACAACAGTAGCGGAATATATGAAAATGTGAGATTCCTTCGGGTCGAAGGACTTGTCAGAAGGGCCGAATGTGGGATTCCTAAAAGTTGCAGCATCCCTGGCAGATGCACCAGAGAGTAATTCGGAGTTAAAGCAAGCTTAGAGTTAGATTAGCCGTCGCTAAGAAAGAGAGTCGTAAGAAAGTCGTCAACTAGAGCAGTTGCTCAGCGGACTTAGATAATGAAGAACTGAAGTCGTGAAAGTCAAATAGAGGTCACAAGAACTGATCGAAATCGAAAATATATACGAGTGTAACTAAAACTAATCCATAATACTAAATGAAATAAATTGTAGACATTTATTGTGAAACTCGTCATAGTTATAATTAAGAGAAAATCGTCAAATTGACTTTTAATTTACTCAATAAATAATAAATCCTACATACATATATGTATGTATACATACACATGTATATTATACAAAATGTAAGTAATCTTTTCTTTCATGTTCTTTTTAACAAAATAACAATTCTCTAAAAACCGTTCTTGTGTTTTTATTAACCAACTTTAGATTTAACCAGTGTTGAACTAAATATTGTGTTGTCTGTCCACGTGTTAGTATTTGTTTTGTGTGTTTCTTGTTATTGTGCAAAAAATATCTAATAATAATATTTTCCAAGGAAGCTCACATACCCTTAATTCTTAAAGAGTGTTTTAAGGATATAAAAATTTATCCTGAAAACAATGTAAATGTTACTGCAGCTTGTAAAAAATGCTCTAAGCCATTGAGGGGAAGTTTACATTCTACAACAAACTTTTTGAATCACTTAAAAGTAAGCAAAGCAATTTTTTTTTTTTTTTTCATTTAAATTAATTTTTTTTTTTTTGCAGACGAAAGGACATGTTGATTTGTTGACACAATACGAAAAATTAAAATCTATATCAACCATGAAAAAAAGAAAACACGACAATGTTGGTGGTGATAGTCCAGCTGCTAAATTATTAAAACAAACTGATTTGGCTGTCTATAAAAACTCTGTTGATTTAGATAGTTTAATTGTAAACTTTGTTGTAAACACAATGTCGCCTATTTCGATTGTAGAACATCCATCGTTTAAAGCTTTACTTGAAGCAACACAGCTAGTGATGGCACGATTAATCATTTGATACACAATAATCGATTATTTTCTTTCAATTCACGATTTAATTGTATCGCAAAATGGGTTTTGAATAATCGAGACAATCGATGATTTGCTCAAAAAATCGCATCGCTATAAGCAACATTGGCGCGCAAAAGTTGGAAAGCGAAGCGTAATTATGGCACCAACAATTAGTTTAGTTATGAAGCGAATACGACAAGAAATGGCGGAGCTTTCAGATATAAATAAAAGTTTAGGAAGCACTAGTGACGGCTCATCTACTCGCGAAGTTGAGTTCGATTTATGGACCCACCACAAGGCACTGGTCCACAAAACCAGTAAGAAAGACGGTAACCATTTTCAGATTCAAGACGAGCTCAGTCTTTGTTTAAATGCTCCTGTTTTTGAATTGAAGCGTAATGTCATCAACGCCTGGGAGGAGATGCGTACTGTATACCCTAAGCTATATGTTATAGCTTGTCGGTATTGTTTCTTAATAGGCACTTCGGTACCAGCGGAACGTCTTTTTTCCAAGGCGGGTGCCACATTAACCGAAAAAAGGAACAGGTTAACAACAGAGCTCCTTTCACAACGACTATTTCTTAACTCAATTTTAAATAAATAAACATTTATATTCTTTACTGTTCGTGTTGCTATTGTTGCTTCTAAAAGGAGATCATAAAAAATAAATGAAGCGCATTCAAAACAAATCATTTGATTAATAGATTTTTCCATTTTTCCGCGATTAATTGCAATTAATCTTTAAAGCACCTAAAATAAATCATATGATTAAATAATCGAACAATGACTTTTTTTGCCATCACTAAACACAGCAATCAACTGCTCGGCCAAAAATAATGTGCAGGCAGACTTGTAATAAACAAATAACTGCAAAATACTGCAAATATTTGGAAAATACAAAAGAAACTTTGAAAAAAGTAGATTTTGTTTGCACCACTGCGGACATACGGTTCTCTTCAAGAAGAAGCTATCTGGGTGTAACTGTACATTTGATTGAAAGCCATACGTTTGAGCGTAAAAGCGCGACTCTAACTTGCAGACGATTCAAGGCAGCTGAACTAATCGTGGAAATTCATTCGGAGTTTGATTTAAGCCCCAACAAAATAGACTGTCACCGACAATGGATCCAACATGGTTGAAGCGTTTGCATCGTTCGGACAGCATGAAGACTCCGTTGAAGATCCAGACTCCATTAAACTTCCACAAGACATTAAAGAAGATAATGACCATGATGACGAGCTCCAACTAATACAATTTCCTGAGTCGTCCGAAGAATTTGAGCAGTGGCAACTTCCAAACCATGAGAGATGTGGTTCTCATACATTGCATTTAATAGCATCACACGATATGGAGAAGGCAAGATCGTTAAATAAGTCATACAAAAAACTTTATTATGCATCTATGGGAAAATGTCAGGCAATTTGGAATTTGTGTTCTAGATCTCCTAAGTCCTGTGAAATATACACCGAAATGACTGGAAAATCTCCTACATCGCCTTGTACAACTCGGTGGAATTCGTAATGTAACTCAATTCAAAACCTTTTGTCCGTTAAGGAAAATTTAAATGACACTTTAAAGAAACTTGGGTTATCCGTTTTTAAAGAAATTGAATTTCTCTTTCTTGAAGAGTACATAAAATATTCAAAACCCATTGCTGATGGCATTAAAAGCTTGGAAGGTGACATACACACGTATTACGGCTGTCTTCTTCCAGAACTGTTTAGAATGCTACGAATTTTTATTAATTTAAAAATGGATGACCCTAAATATTGTATTGATCTAATTGAGTTAATGCAGAAAAGTCATAAAAAGAGATTAGAAAATTTTTTTAAGTTAAATGAGCCCAAAGCTAAAGATGCTGTAATCGTAAGTGTATCTCATCCATTTTTACCATTTTCAATGGGAAATCAGGGTATAATGGTTTTGCTGAAATGTATGTAACAGGAAGAAGGAGGCGTGGCAGACCCCACAAAGAATATATATTCTTGATGAGGGCGACGAGCTGAGTCGATTTGGCCCTGTCCGTCTGTCCGTCTGTCCGTATGTTTGAACGCGCCGATTTCCGAAGATATAAGAGCTAGAGACTTCAATTTTTTTAAATGACCGTATATACAGCGCGGACGTCGAGTTTGCTTTTAAAATTCGATCAATCATCCCGTTATGTTTTTATCGAGTAAAAACATTCTAGTTCAAGTCAGATGCCACTATAGCTAATTGTAAATGATTTTAAAATTTTTAAAATTTCTCAAATATTCAATATAATATGTAGATCATATGCTGAAAGTTTCATTAAATTCCGTTCAGTCAAAAATTAAGTAAAAATCATCAAATATTTGGCCAATTAACAAACGCACGTGTAGCAGCTACAACAGCATCGTATGCGTGTGCACACATACATTCAAACTTCTTCTAGAACATTCTTTGAATCACATCAGCTGTTAGTTTCGTTTAGTTTTGGTAGATGGCGCTGCAGCAGTGAATCTATTTGAGTTTTGCTAGCGGCACTTGCAGAATTGAGGTGGCGTAGTGTGTTAGCTGCATGACGCTCGATCGAGAAGTCGCGGTTCGAATCCCGATCGGTAAAACTGATGTTAACTTTTTTCATAAATGAGTTTTCTATTTAATTTATATTTTTAAATACATCGAAATTGAAATTTTAACCATACTAAATGGGCATTTTCATTAGTTGGGTTCAGGGTAGTATCTAGTCGAGCACTCTCGACTAGAGTTTTCTTACTTGTTTATATTCGTTTATTTACAATCTTATTATACTACAAGTTGCAAGTTAAGTGGTGGCTCGGATAGCGCGTGATGTTTGCGGGACGGCCGTAAAGCATTGCTTCGCAAGCACTATGCGCTACCTTAGACTGGTACAGCTCGTCTTCTCATTCGCTCGACTCTGCGCAGCTCCATCATCACTGTGGCCGCGAAGGTGCTTGTTAGTTCCCACTAAAACAATTCGATGCCACTAAAACAATTTGAGTGATCGTTGAGCCCTGATTAGCAGACTCGGACTCCGGGGCATGAATGGAGCTTAATCTTTCTGGAAAGAGCGTTTCCACAATCGATTTAAGCTCATCGGCTGCACCTGTTTACCTGCGTATAGTCTTTTAACTACTGTTTTATATGCCCTGCCCCAAGGGTCATATTCGGCTGAGTCGCACAACTCTAGAAAGCATTCTCTTTTGCTTGCCCAAATGGCCTTCTTCAACTGTCTTCTGGGTGCCTGGTAAGCTAACTGTTTTTCGAAAAACGTAGACCTACCCCGAGCCCGTTGATAGCTGTTTCTCTTCCCTCCACAAGGTTGACGCCCTGGCAGGTGGCTCACCTATTGTGAACAGAAGTGCCATATGATCGCTGCCCGAATAGCTATCGCAGTGGCTCCATGTTGTTTCCCGAACGAGGAATGAAGTGACAAAAGTAATGTCAATTACAGATCCGTATCCAGCCCGACTGAAGGTGAACTCATGGCCAGTGTAGAGCAGTGCAACATCTAGTGTCGCGAAAATCTCCAGTAAGATACGGCCCCTAACATTTCTTGTGTGGCTACCCCATTCCAACGCCCGTGAGTTTAAATCTCCTGCTATAATGGCCTTCCGACCCCTAGCATCCTCGGCAAGCTCGTCAAGCGCCGTTGTGAAATCACTGAGCTGCATGCTGGAGGCCAGGTAGCAGATGAAGAGCCATAGGCTACCGTATTGGCCACGTACGAACCCATTCGAAAAAACATTCGTTGTGTTGCCACATACTCACAACACCGCTTTGCCATTAGCATCTGTTGCTCATGTCCTAGGGCAGCTGGTTCTACAGTGGTGAGGCTCACTGAGAAAGGCTACAGGTCTATACATTTTTCCCTTATGGTCTGCTCTAGAAGATCTTGGGCAGCAACACAATGATTTAAGTTAAGCTGAAGGAACCTTAACATTTCATTTTACGAGCAGCCTCGTGCTAGGATGGGAATTGAAGCTGCCTGCTGAGTGGTCCGTCTGCTTTTCACCTTTCCGGATGCAGAGGCTACATTTTGGTGGCTTAGTGCATGCTTTTGCCCTGTGACCCATCTCTCCACACCTGAAACAGGCGCCCTTTAGCTCACAGTCGCTGCCGCAGTTTGCTGCCATATGACCGTAATCAAGGCACTTGAAGCGATTAGGCTGATCCACGGCGCGGATACGGCATACAACCCATCCAATTCTGATTTGGACATCTCAAGCAGAGTTTTGGCTTTTCCAGTTGGTCGAAGCGACTTGATAGCCTCAATGGAGAGTGAGCTATCCGTCAACTCCGCCCTAATTGACTCCAAGATCTCCTCTTTGCTCGCTAACTCATCTAGGTCACGAATCTCAATTTGAGCCGATTCGGTAAGTGTTTTAACTACCGCTCGTTCACCCAAGGCCTTGCCTACAGCTTCGTGAAGGGCCTCAGCGCTATGCTCCGTCTTGACTACACGAAGCATATCCGCATAGCTGCAACCACCCACGCCTGAAATCGCGATTGCGTCGCTTCTGGGTCGTTTTTGCATGGGCTTGCGTCCTTTAACGACTGTCCAGCTGTTCGGGCTTGTCTGTCGACCTGCCTGATTTGAATTTTCAGCTGTAGCCCGTAGAGCCATTGGTTCTTTTGGGTTCGCTGCACCTTTATTGGTCCACGGCTTTTTCGAGGGTGTTTTCCTCTGATCGGTGGCAACTTCCCTCGACCGCTTGGGCGAATTGCTACCTGAGATCGCACTAGTGCTCGCTTTCTCCACCACTTTCTGGAGTGGCATGGTCAGCACCTCGCAGTTTTTAACCGGTCGGTTGCAGAGCTTTTCGGCCGTCTTATGGAGATTGACCAGCCTAGCCAGCTCCTCTCTCATTAGGGCATTAATATGCCGCTGACCCCCAAATAAGGCAGTCAAGCCCTCTAGCGTAACTCCTGTTTGGGCTAACTCTTCGTTTAGTGAGTTGGGTTCCTGGCACTCAGCCACTGGGGACTGATTAAAGGTCGACGCGTCGTCCAGCACTACTAACAGCTGTTAGAGTGAATGCACCTGATTTTTATTAATTGCGCAAGTGTGACGCCTAGTGACAAAACTTTTCGTGCTTGAAAAAGAAAAGGAAAGAGAAAAGCCCTGACGCCAAAACAATGACGCTATTGCCCCCCTCTGGATTCTACCACCGGGGTATTCCACGAACCGCCGCGCAGTAAGTCTCTGGTAGCTTTCGAGGTCGCTGCGCCCACAGCATACACGTTTTCTTTAGATATTTCCACTTTCGCAGGGAAAAACTCAGAACAAGCTATAGTCAACGATGGATCACAATAACATCGACCGCACTCCACGAAAACGCAACATGTGGGATGTGTGTGTGTATGTGTGTGTGCGTATGTGTGTGTGTGTGTGTGTTTTTTTATTTTATCTTCGTTTAATAACAACTTTTACAATATGAGTTTAAGTGTGTTTAGGTTGCTAAGGGTAGCGCACGATGCTTGCGGGACGGCCGTAAAGCATTGCTTCGCAAGAACTTTCATTCCCTTAGCCTGGGACACCTCGTCTTTCGATTCGATTCTGCGAAGCTCCATCATGATTGTGGTCGCGAAGGTGCTTATAAGTTTCCAAGCTGCCTCCGATTCCAACATCA